TAAGTTGACTTAAATGTGATGGTAAAAAATCTAGTTAAATGGTGAAAAAGGATTATACTGGGAGAAAAAGAAAGAAGGAGGCAGACTAGGGTAAGTTACATCACATGAAAAGGCACAAAAATCTAATATATTAGAGGGAAAGAAGGGAGGGAGATGAGCATTGTTTGAACCTTACTGTCATCAGATTTGGTTCAAAGAGGGAATAACATAGGCACAGAAATCTAACTTACCCTATAGGAAGTAGGAGGGGAAAGGGAAAAGAAAAAAGAGGGGTGTGAATAGAAAGGAGGGAAGAAGTAGAAAGGGTAAAGGGGAAGAAAAGGGAGGGGGCTAATAGAAGGAGGGCAGACTGAGGGAGACGGTGGTCAGAAGTAAAACTACTGAGGAGGGAAAAGGAAAAAGGAGAGAAAAAAGCACAAATGGGGGGTGGGGATAGTATGGAGAGGAAGACACAGATAGTAATCATAACTGAATGTGAATGGGATGAACTCTCCCATAAAGTTGGAACAGCAGAGTGAATTAAGAACCATAATCCTATAATATTCTGTTTATACGAAACACACCTGAAGCAGAGAGATACGCATAGAGTAAAGGTAAAAGGCTGGAGCAGAATATATTATGCTTCAGTTGAAGTAAAAAAAAAGCAGGGGCAGCAATCCTGATGTCAGACAAAGCAAAAGCAAAAATAGATCTAATTAAAAGAGATAAGGAAGGAAACTACATCCTGCTAAAAGGTACCATAGATAATGAAGTAATGTCATTGCTAAACACATAGGCACCAAGTGGTATAGCAGCCAAATTCTTAAAGGAGAAGTTAAGGGACATACAAGGAGAAATAGACAGCAAAACTATACTGGTAGGATATTTTCCTTCTCAATTTTTGAGAATGTTATGTATAGTGTATACTAAGTATCCTTTTAAAGTTTGATAGATTTCTGCAAATCCCTCAGAACCAGGAAGTTCCCCTGCCCCTTTGGGAGTTTCTTTACATTTAATTCCATTTTCTTCTCTGCAACTGGATTATTTAAGATCTTTAGTTGGTGTTCTGTCAATCTGGGTAGTTTATGCTTTTGAAGATACTCCTCCATTCCTATTGTGTTCTCTGTTTTCTTAGCATGTGACTTTATAATAGGTTCTCATAATTCCTTTTATTTCCTCTATTTTGTCTTGATTAGATCTTGCTCTTTCAGTTGCTATCTTATTGATTTGATTTTGTACCCTTTCTTCTTTAACCATATTGGCTAAATATTTATCAAATTTTTAGTCTCTTCAAAGAATAGCTTTCAGTTGTATCTATCATTTCTATAGATTGATCTTGTTTCCACTTTATGGGTTTCTCCTCTAATTTTTTATGTCTCCTCTTTTGAGGTTATTTTATACATGCTTATTTGTTGAATTTCTACTTAATGACTATTCAGCTCATTAGTCTTTCTCTTTCCTATTTTGTCAATGTATATTTGAAGACATGCATTTTCCCATCCAGACTGCCTTAGCAGTATCCCAGTAAATTGGGATTTTTTTCCATCACCTTCCTCCTTTGTGTAATTATCATTTCTCTGATTTGTTCTTTGATATCTCATTATTTAGGATTTCATTATGAAGTCTTTATTTGAATTTGTGTCTTTTGTTTGTGATTCCTGAACCCATTTATATTTCTTTTATTGTTACGGTCTATTAAAAATGTATTTACTTCTTCTGCAGTTTTGCAAGTGTTTGCAATATCTCTCGGGGCTTTATACAAGGTCATTTTTGAGTGATATATGCATTCATTTGCATTTCCATTTAAAAAACACCATAAGTATTTTAGCTGTAGTTTCTCCAGCAATTTTTTTCAGATCTACATTTTCCCTTTTATTTGACTTTCTTTTCCATGTATCCAAAACAGACAGAATGAGAGACAATGAAATTCCCTGTCACTGCTTTGTTATTGCCTACAGATTCTTATAGCTAGATTAGTATTTCCTTTTGAATTTAAATATTAAGGCACTTGGAAAATATAGTTTTAATTTGAGTTTGTTTTTTTGAGTTTCTTTCAGTGTAATGTGGTTTTCTTGCTGATCCCTTTTTATGTTATGTTTTTTTCTTGATGTGTCTTATGGCATGACAGCAGCTCCTGCTTTTTGGATTCACTTAATGCATAATAATTTTTTCATCCTCTCATTTTTATTCTGTTTCTGTTTTTGTGAGGTTTTTCAAATGTGTTTCTTCTAAGCAACAAATTGTGGATGTGTGTTTACAGATCCAGTCTCTCATTCTCTTTTCATCTTCTTAAAATATTACTACATTCCCATTTAAATTCTAAGATTTGGGTTTATATATTACTCCATTTCTATTTTTTTTCCAAAATGGAATTTTAAACTCCTCAAAAACAAATGCAGGATTATGTATCTTCAGTTATTTCACCTCAATCCCTTTGAATGTAGTTTACTTTTTACCAGCTCCTTTTCCCTCAGCCTCAGCACCTACTCTACTACCACTAACAATGGTAACCTCTTTCCCTGGCTTTAGAGTTTTGCTTATTACTTCACTTTTCTTCCTTGCTTTTGTCTAACTATTTAGTTTTTCCTCTCTCCCCTTAGCTAAGTAATTGAGGTGCAACCGATTCCTCCACTGACTTTCAACTTTTTTTTCATAACTTAAAATCTCATATTCATACATTTTTATAAAATATGATAAATGTCTCTCATTCTCTTCATAATTTAATAATATTGTCTGCCTCTTAATCTTGGCCACATAACCTATAACACCAGATTTGAACATTTTCATTTACTTCCAATCAGTGTCCCTGCAATATTAGTGATAGGTGACAGTGATCATTAATACTCCAGGATTCCTGAGACAAACTGAGGAAGGATAGCTTCCTCAAGATTCTTCAAGGATCCAGGAAGAAGAGCTAGGTAATACCTAGAGGGACCTATATAAGTACCAATCAAATGAAAAAAAAAAGTACTTCTGGTAACTGGAAACTGTATTACACTTTTTGGTATATGGGCTCCCTAATCTTGAGCCCATTTTCCATTGAACTCTGTATATGTTGAGGAGAGGGCTTGTCAAAGACATTTAAGGGTATAGTGATGTTTTGTGCCAAATGTTTTTACTCTTTCACCTAAATAAATACACATTTCAGAAAGCTAATTACCTTTACCTGACTATTTAATATCAACTGATAGTATGGGCAGACGCTGATGGGGACTCATGAGCTCTAGCAGTAGAATCCTCTCTCCCCAAACCACAGCTCCACACAGGTTATGTCCCCCAAATCCTCTAGTAACATTTAGAGACTTGGAATATTCCTTGCTCTGTTTTTCACACCTAGATTCTCCTCCTCTTCCTCTGGGATTCAAAATATCCAACCCAATCCTGATTGTTCTTCTCTACCAATTACCAAAACATTAACCTGCCTCAATGAGTTTAATCCTCACAGTCTTCCTCTTTTGCCCAATTTCCCCAGTCAAAAATTTTTTAAGGTAAGAAAATGAGAAGACACCTTTATCCCACTCCTCTGCAAAGGGAAACTCCATGAGTGTGGTACATTGCACATACTTTTAGACTCCTACATAAGGTATTGACTGTATTTGCTACTTTTCCTCTTCTTTTTCTATTTCCCCTTAAAAATATCATTAGTGTTATAGGAAGATCCTCCACGAAGGAAAAGTACCAAAGGTATACTGGAAAAAATCCTGAAGATATAAAAACTCAGAGATATTCATTAAAAAAAATCTGTTTTAAAAATAAGGATGTCAATGATGTGCCCCAGTATTTATTAACTAGCCTAAATATATCTCAGTTCTTTTAACCTATCCTCATATTGAATGGTCTTCTATTTTCTCACATTTAGTATGTCACTAAAATTTCCTCATCTTTAAAACTTAGGGATTGGAATGGATTATCTCAGAGTTCCCTTCTACCAGTAGACCTATGATCTGTGATCATTCAGATCACCCCACACAAGATTTTCTCCAGCTTATTCACCTTCCTCTTACAGGATCACATTCACCACTGACCACCTCACTCTAGATGTGGTCTGACAATGGCATGGTACAGTAGTACTAACACAACATGTGTTCTCAACACCGCTTCTCAAAATGCAGGCTATGATCTCTGCAGTGTTTGGGGTGTTGTCTCACCACACGTCAAACTTACCATTAAATAAAACCACCAGATCATTAGATAAAAAAAATTGAGGGTGACATTTTCACTATACTGTGATATATGTGTGTTTAAGTATATACATGCATCTGTATCTATATAGGGATATATTTTTATTTAGATTATCTGTAATATCTATAACCCCCTCCCCAATCTTTTCCTCACAGGGTCCCTCCATTCATTCAAGACCCTACTCACATGCAATTTTTAAGATAAAGTCTTTCCTCATTCTCCAGCTTCTAGTGCCTTGCCTCTCACATGAACAAGTATCTACTCACATGCATATGGTTATCTGAAATTTTGCAAGCTGAGTTTAGGGGGTGTAAGGCTGCAGGGGTGGCCACCACATCCTCGGGAAGCCTCTAATCCTCCTACCTTTTCCCCTCTGCACAGTTGAGGCTGGGCAGCCCAGGACAGAGCTGAAGACCCACCATGGGCCCCATAGTCACATTCCTGATCTCCATTGGTGAGTGTCCAGGGTCAGGCCAGGGGAGGGAGGGACATTGAGACAAGGTCCTTGGCTCCCGATACTAAAAGACGAGGAGGAAGCCTAAGAAGGAGAAAGAACCTACTTGGGGAGAGCCGGACCCTGGTGTCTGCTCAAAGGGCTCTTCCTTCATATTCTGACCAAAGCAGACTGAGAGGTTCAGGGGCTTTGAGAGCTGGGGATGGGGTCAGCATGGGCTGGAGGAGAGGCATCTATAATCTGAGCTTCTCTTACAGGGCCGTGTCTGGACTGGGCAGTGAGGGCACAGATGGGTGAGTCCTGCCCCCTAGATTCCACTGTTCTCTTTCTTTTCCTTTCCTTGTACTAGAACAATTCAGACATGTATTTCCAGGATAAGCGAAGAGGGAAATGGGACATTGTGGTGAATGGATGGAGTGATTCATGGAGGGGCTTCAGAATCTGATGGTGAAGGAAACATGACGCTTAGAGAAATCTCCAGGAATGTGGACTCTGTTTCCTTCTCAGACACCCTTCCACGGCCCACCCTCTGGGCCATCCCAAGTCCTGTGGTCCTCGGGGGAGCAGATGTGACCCTTAGGTGCCAAGGTCACCTGGGGAGTGACCGATTCCAGCTCTGGAAGGATGGAGAGCTCAGAAATGAGAGAAATGCATCCTGGCAGCAGGCAGAGTTCATGTTCAGGAATGTGGATGACTGGAGAGATGCGAGAAGCTACAGCTGCCGCTCTGGGCAGGGACCCTGGTGGTCAGAGCTCAGTGAAGCCTTGGCCCTGGTGGTGACAGGTGAGGGGTGCTGGTCTACAACCATCCCTGGTGGGAAGGAGGCCAGTCCTGAGAGAGGAGCCCCAGACCCCTCTCTGGAGAGTTACCTACAAGTGGGACAAACCCTCAGGCTTTACTAACTGCCTCCCCTTACCACCTCTACCTCCCCAAGCTCTTGGAAGCCCTTGATCTCTGGCTCACAGTTTGAGGTCATAAGTTAGGTTCTGAAATCTTTCCTGTCAATAACACTGCAAGCAGAAGAGTACGTGCGCCATGATTTTCCTTTAGGGAAACTGAGGCCTGGAAAGGATGTAAGTTGCAATGAACAGGTCAATGGGTCCTGTCAGGGCCAGGATTTGAACTCGTGTCTCCCACCCCCAAATGCAGGGATGTTTCCCCAGGTGGTCAGTGTTCCCTGATGACCCAGCCAGGAGAGCTGGGCTGCTCTTTCCTCTGAGGCTACACAGCAGCCTTTGGGAGCAGGGGCACACAACCTTACCAGAGCAAACTTTATACAGATAAACTTTTCCTGTCTCTTCTAAGGCCCAAACTGGCAACATCCATCCTGTCCAGCTGTGTCTCCCCTTGTTCCCTTCTGCCCTCGTTACTTTCCCATCAGCCTGGACAGATGACAACATCCCCTCCCATCATGTCCCACCATTCTGCCCTTGCTCACACAGTTCCCTCTGCCTGGGATGTCCTCCTCACCTTCATCTTTCTCTTTCCTACTCATCATTAAAACCCAGCTCAGATCCTGGATGCTCCAGGATAGTGTCCGTGATTGTATCCAGCGCCAATGTCCTGGCCCTTGGCCCTCCCAGTACGGTGCCTTCACCTCCCCCATGCTCCCTCTTTATCATCAAGACCCTTCCCACCACCCCATGCAGCTGTCCATCTGGCCTGTGTTAGAAGGCAGTCTGCTGAAGGAGGAGCCTGAGATCCAGAGTCTGTGGCAGGGGGTTCAAACACCTGCCCCCCAGGTCCTAGCTGGGTCATTGTGGGCAAGTCCCTGACCTTCTGTAGACCTCGGTTCCCTATTCTGTAACATGAAGATCATAGGCTGGATTGTCTAATGACATGATTTGAGCTCAAACCTTTGTGATCCCTGGGACTGTGAGCTCCTGAGGGCAGCAGGGGTGGTGCCTTCCCTACACCTTTGGGACTCCTCCATCACTGAGTAGGAGGCACCTGATAAGTGGGTGATGAATGAGGGCAGGAGAAACAGAGAAAATTAAATTCCTCTAATAATAGCCCAGAGGGAGCCCCCATCCTCCTCTGCCAGCCCCAGCCCATCCAGGGAAACACAGCTCTGCCAGCTCTGTTCTGCCTTCACTGAGGAGTAGGTACGGGGTGGCAGAATAGGGACCTGGCACCAGGCAGCAGTGTGGGGAAGTGGGGAAGGGCAAGGACTGGGAATCTGAGTTTCTGTCTAACCTCCCAGTCATGGTGTTATTGGGAGGACAGTGCTTTGCAAAACCTCAAAGCTTACCAGAAGTGTCTGAATATGCCAGTGATGGTGCATTAGGATCCTGCCATGGTCCAGCAAGCCCAGGTTATAGGGACAGAGCTGGGCCCTTTGGAGGAGGTGAGAAGAGGGGCAGGTGGGGGAGGGTGACCGCCTCTGCCCAAGTACCTTCTCCTCCCATCTCTCTGTACATTCACAGCCTTCCTGGGCCCAGAACAGCTTTCTGAAGGTGACTCAGGAACCCAGTTAACCAGACATGAACTTATATACAGGACTGGGCAAAGAGGCCTGGCCAGGGACCCTCAGCCCACCCTCCCCATTCTCGACTGTGTTTCAGGGAATGATTTCAGGGTATCAGGGTGACAGATCGGATCCCTAACTTTCTTCCTTCCTCCTTTCACAGGAGCCCTCCCCAAACCCTCCATTTCATCCTCGCATTGCTCCACAATATCCCCAGGGACAACAGTGACCATCTGGTGCCAAATATCATCACAGGCTCCCCCTCAGGACTACAGTTTAGCCCTGCTGGAGGCAAAAAGCCTGGAACCTTTGCAGCGACAGAGCCCTGCAGGGACATGGGCTGTTTTCTCACTTCTGTCTGTGAGGCCCGAGGACACTGGGAGCTACAGCTGTATTTACTACAAGAAGACAGCCCCACACAGAGGGTCCCATCCCAGCCAGGCCCTGGAGCTGACTGTGCTTGGTAACTGGAGATGGGAACTCTACAAATCCCCAATTCCACCTCCCACATAGGGGCCCACCAAGCTATGGGGACAGCACAAAATCCTGGGGATTCTGAAGGGATGGTTTGGGGGAAGTCTGGAGGAGACCCTGGGACCCTCTCCTGTTCTCCATGGAACTTTGGGGACTCAGCTTTGGGGCCCAGGATAGTGGGGGTGTTCCCAGCTCAAGGCAGACCCCAGACAAGAAAGTGGGAACAGAGCCAAGATTGCTATTTCCCCTCTCACTAAAGGGTTTGGGGGAGGGACCTAGAAATGACATCTAACTCTGACATTTGGTGTATCTCCCTTGAGGACAGCTCCCCAAGCCTAGTCTGTGGGCCCAACCTGGCCTCGTGATGGCCCCAGGGGCCAACATCACTCTCTGGTGCTCAAGGTCCAAACTGTCTTCCCTTGAAGAGGTGACTTTCACTCTGTGGAAGGCTGGAACCCAGGGGCCCTTACAGCAGCAGACCTCAGCAGATCTCTGGACTAGCTTTCTGCTCCCATCTGTGAGACCTGAGGACACTGGGAGCTACAGCTGTACCTACTGGAAAAGGAGAGCGTCTGCTAGAGGATCAGAGCCCAGTGAGGCCCTGGAGCTGCTGGTGCCAGGTGAGGGGTGTGTGTGGGCCCCAGAATAACTCTGAGTATGACCCCTCGGATCTCTGCCCAGACAGAAGCCTCACAGAGACAAGGCCTGGTGTCTACACAGCTATCTCTGTCCTGGGGTCTGTCAGGACTCAGGGGCCTTGGAAGACATCAGGCATTTCTATTCCCTATCTAGAACCTGGGGAAGAAAGGGGATGGTGGGGACTGAGTTGGGGGTTAGGAGAAGAGTCACAGAGACCCAGAGCTGAAAGAGGCCTTGCAGGTTCTTGAGGCCAAACCCTCCCATTACGAATGAGCAAAGTGACACCCAGGGAGAGGGAAGGACTTGTCCAGGATCACACAAGTTAGTGACAGAGCATGGAAATGAGCCTGAGCCTTCCCATTTCTGGACCATGATCCGAGCCCTGGGTCTCTCTATGATAACCCTGACGAAAAGTGAGTGGTCATGACCTTCCCTCCTGTGAGTCATCAGAGGCCTGAGACCATAGGTGGATAGGTTCCCTCTAATGTTAAAGTCATTTTAAATTCCTGGGTCACTAGAAGAGGAAAGGGCTGAGAGATCTTCTAGTCTACCCCATCATTTTCAGAAGAGATAACTGAGGTGCAGACAGGTCCAGTGACTGGACCAAGGTCACACAGGGACTCAGAGGCAGAGCAGGGACTTGACCCAGGTGTCCTGACCCCCAGCCCCGTGTTCTCCCTCTCACAGGCTCTCTGCCCAAGCCTTCCCTCTCAGCCATCCCAGGCCTTGTGGTGGAGCCCGGGATGCATGTCACTCTCCAGTGCCGGCAGCCCCCTCAGACATTCCTCAGAGCTGTGACTTTCGTTCTGCTGAAGGTGGGGACCCCCCAGCCCCTGCAGAGCCAGAGCCCAGCTGGGACCTCGGCTGACTTTCCCCTGCTCTCTGTGAGGGCCCAGGATGCTGGCGACTACAGCTGTGTCTACCACAGGAGGATGGCTCCACACCAGGTGTCTGAGCCCAGCGAGGTCCTTGAGATCTGGGTGACAGGTGAGGAGTCGTCTGTGGTCTCCAGGAAACATCAGAGGAATGAAAATCCAGCCTTGAGACTCATCCAGGGAAGTCAAGGGGAAGGCAGTGCAAGGAAGCTACTGATGCGAGCACTGTTAAGAAACCGAAGCTTGGGCCCCCAAGATTAACTGTGGGAACACAGAGGAGATGTGGCCACTTCAGCTAATGCTCCATGATGCAGAATCCTTGTCAGTCAATAAGCATCTATTAAGGGCTCACTTATTTGCAGGCACTGGGCTAATCCCTGGGGATACAAAGAAATGCCGAAGACAGTCCCTGCCCTCAAGCAGCTCACACTAATGGAGGAGACATGTAAAAATTCTTATACCTACAGGATATAGACATGGAAGGTGGGCGGTCATTTCAGAGAGGAGGCTCTAGCATACCTGGGAATGGCCTCCTGCAGAAAGAGGGATCTTACCCGAGGCCTGAGGAAGACCAGAGGAGGTGAGGGGGCAGAGTATTCCAGCCAATGAGGAGGCGCAGATTCAGGGAGTGGAGCATCACATGTGAGCAATCTCACAGCGGCCAGTGAAAATAGATCGTAAAGTGAGTGGAGGGTGGGAGAGCAGTGGGAGGGGCTAATGGAGGAAGGGGGCAGGTGGTCACAGGATGTAAACTCTAAACAGGGACCTGTCCGTTCACTCTTGAGAATCAAAGTGAGCCACTGAAGTTTATGGAGTAGAGGAGTGGCGTGGTCAGACCTACCCTTTGGGACGCTTGCTTTGGCAGGTGGATAGAGGGGGTCTTAGAGCATGGGAAGATATGTGGAGCTGAGATCAGGCTGTTGCAGTGGTCCAGCTGCATCATGATGAGGGCCTACATCAAGTCACAGAGGAAAGAAGGGGGAGCGTTCAAGAGATGTTGGTGAGAGGGAAACAATGGAAGGAGAGGGATGGACTCCTACTTCTCAGCAGTTCTGGGGAATGAGGAAGTCTCACATCTGCGTTACTAGAAGAAGGCTTTTGAAAGACGCCTGGACAAAGGGTGTATTGGAGGAGCTATTTCCTAACTCAGGAAGCCTTGAGCCCCCAGTCAGCAGGGGTCGTGAGCCTCTCCACAGGGGCATGTCTTTCACCTCCGTCCCTGTGTACCAACTGTTCCCACATGGGACAGGTATCCTACAGACGATATGGGAATAGGATTCACTCTCAAGATGGGCTTTCAATGACCTATCCAGTCTATCCCTAGGCTCACCTGCCAATTTTTGACTCCACCCTCATTCTGATGGGAATTTTTCTGGTTGGATTTCAGCAGTTTCTATCACCTTAGCCAGAAATTCACACAACCTTCCCATCATCTGTTGACATTAACTGATACGTTCTATACCCTGACCCCATAGATGTCTCCATGTCCAGCACCACCTTAGAGCACAGGGCCATGAGTGGGGCACAGAGAAAGACTAAGGTTTGTCCCAGCTACTGGCCCTGGGAGGTTCATCTCAAAAAGCGACCATACGTGCTGCTTTTCTCTGAGAAGACTGAACCAAATCATGGCCCGTGGCTGCTCCAGGATTTGCAGATCCGAGAGGCTCAGAATCAGCTCTCCCAGTCATGCATGATCATGACTCCCCAGGTGCCTTGTCCAGAGAGACACACACCCTCTTGATGCTATCTCCTGGCAGTCTTAGTGGTCACTGCTGTCCCCTTCTCCTCTCCAGCTCCCTGTGCACAGATGTTCATTTGTCCTAGAAGCTACCCAACTCACTTCTTCTAATACAGGTCTACTCTGAGGACATGTTTTCACTACCCTGCTGGCTCCTTGCCATCTGGATGGCTGCCCACGCTCCAGTTACACTGACCTTTCAGAACCTCCTTGACATATTGACATGCTTCTTCAGCACCTGCTTCTCTACCTGTCCTAGTGGTCTCAGATGCCCTGATTGTACTCCTCTGCTCCCTTTCTCAAGGATGACCTCGGCTCTGGGAAAGTGATAAAGATCAGAAGAATGCAGCTCTAGGATAACCAGGAGGCAGCATCAGAGAAAGGCCAGGGAAGACAAGAGTTAAAAATCCATCCCCATGGGAGTGGTTAGGGGCAGGAAAGTAATCTCAACTTCTTTCCTTTGCCTTTTCTCCTCCACAGGAGCTCCAGTGTGATCCTGTCCCATACCAAGCTGTCCAGAGTTGAAGTCAAGTGAGTTGTTGGGAGTGCTCAGCTAACAGGAGGGGAGAAAGGACCGGGCTAGGGGCTGGGGCATTTCAAAGGCCCCTGGAAGAGAAAAGTCCCATTCTTGTGTCAACAATGGCCTCTGCCCTTCTATTCCTCAGATTCTGTCCAAAAGGATCATACTGTGGGGAGTCTCATACAAATTGGCTTGGCCACGCTGGTCCTTGTAACCCTGGGGATCATCCTGGGTGAAGCCTGGAGTAGCTGGAGGAGGAGTGAGGGCACAACTCTCAAAAGGGATCCAAAAAGAGACCCATGCATGAGCAGTAAGGCCAGGAATCTGGAATGCAGAAAAGGGAGCAGGGAGAAGCAAGTGTTTGCTTCCTAGCAAAACTGAGGAAGATTACCTAGTACTTGAGGTTCTGTGGAAATGGTGCCACCTCAGGACATTTGCAGGTACAGTGCCCCCTGCTTCGGCTACCATCCCCCCTCCCTTTGGCCTTCTAGAATCGCTAGCTTCCTTTGATGAGCTTCCTGGGTGCCAAGTTCTGCCCAGACCGTGGCTGGCACCCCTTCACCCCCTCCCCCCAGTTTTTGGCATTGTCCCTCTCCTGAAATGACTGTTATTCTTATGGCTCATTGTGTACATCCTGTATCCCTCCTCTCTTCCTCTCTTTCTCTCTCTCTCTCTCTCCCCCCTTCCCTCCCTCTCCACAGTAGAATATAATCTCTTTGAGGGAAGGAGCAAGTTTTTTTACTTTTATTTTTATTTCAACAGCTCTAACATTGTCCTTTACATATAGCAGACACAATATATATTTGTTAAATGGGTGAACCAATAAATGATACAAAATATGACATTTATTAGGGGCCTACTAAGTGCCAGGCACTGTACCAAACACTAGTGATACAAATAAGAAGAATGGAGGACAGTCTCTGCCCTCAAGGAATTTACAATCTATTGGAGAAAGTGACCAAAGGAAGTTGAAAAGGGTGGGGGAAGGGGAGTGCCAGAAGGTACCTGGCCCTGGCATGCTGAAGATTATAGTGTCAAAACCAAGCAAAGCAGCTGGTGGCAAATAAAGAGATGAAAGGCATTTTCAGGCCTCCATAAAGGGAAGTGATGGGAGGAGGTCTTATGCTCCTAACCCCACATGGATGAATGAATGACTGAGTGAAAGGGCTCTAGGCTAAGCCCATCTGCACCCATCTGGATTCCATGACTATTCCCTCCTCTGCTATGCTCTGCCCTCACCCCTTGCCCAAGGCTCACTGCCCCATCCCTCCCTTGTGCCCATATATGCCCTGCTCCTGGAGCAGTCAACATTCACTGGTACTGAAGCTTTACTCAGCACATCTTTCTTTCTTCACAAGAGGGCTTTCAAAGTGTCTACAGGTACATGAAGATAAGGTAGAAATGCAACCACGGCTCAGAGCATCTTCCCTGGGCACAAGAACTCTGGTTCTGAGCCTGGATAACAATAATGGTGGTGATGGTGATGATGATGATGATGAAGACGGAGATGATGGTGGTGGTGATGAAGATGGTGGTGGCAATGATGATGATGAAGATGATTCCATCGATAACAATGGTGGTGTTGAAGATGGTGGTGGTGACTTGACATCTTTATTGTCTTCATGGGTTACAAAGCATTTCTTTCCCACCAGCTTTTGGAAGGGGGCAGGATGGGTGTCACTCTTTATTGGAACAAATGTTCTCTTTGTGTTCCTCTTTAGTCCCCATATATAAAATGAGTTGGTTGGACTCTATGATTTTCTAGGATCCTTTCTTTCCTGCAATTCCATGGTTTGATCTTGACCTTCCATGGTGGCAGGGTCTGTAGTCCCAGAGGAAAGTGTGGGGGAAAGGTGACAAAACTTACTGTGTCCTGGGTTTCCCTTTAGCCTACATCAGCAGCTCACCCAAAAATGCCCCAGCAAGACTGTTCAGAGCATTCAGCATGTTAGTCTGTGATCTCAGGGAGTAGGGCCAGCAGAGGTTAGAAGGGAAACTGAGGGACCAGGGAGGCCAGGTCCCTTAAAACCCAGGTTTCACTCCCAGCTCTGAGAAGCCTTTGCTAGTTTAATAGCCATGGTGTCAGACCTTATGTTCCCGAATTTGAGCAAAGTCCCCACCCAGTTCTGTACCTGGTCATCATTCCAAGCCCTGGGGTTAAGACAATCCTTTGACTGCCTGCACCATCCAGAACACTTGAATAGAGGCATTTCCAGAGGTAGTTGAAAGCCTCTAAGGCTTTTAAAAAATTCTAGGCAAGAAGATTGAATGCAGTCAGTCAGAGGGTCCCCTGGAGCCCCAACAGCTCCACCAAAGTTCTAAAAATTGCTTCTATACTCTCTTGCCCCAAAGGTCCACTGATGGGTCCCCAGATCACTCCACCCACGGGCAAATGCCACCTCAATCCCCTCTCCAGGTCCGCACCATAACTTCCATGCAAGATGGCACAGTGGAGAGACTGCTGGCCTGGAGTCAGACCTCAGATACCTGATCTCAGATACTTCCTAGCTATGTGAACTTGGACTAGTCACTTTGCCTGTTTGCCTCAGTTTCCTCATTTATACAATGGGGATAATAATAACACTGATATCACAGGATAGTTGCGAGGGCCAAATTAGATAATATTTGTAAGGTACTTAGCTCAGTGACTGGCACATGGTAGGCACTATATAAATGTTAGTTATTGCTAATATTATTTTATTATTATTATTATTATTATTAGTCTTAAATAGTTTTGTGTCCCACAGGACTTCTGAGCCCAAAAGCCAGTCTGTAAGGTCACCTGTCCACCTGCCCTTTGGAGGACCAAGCTACTGGTCTCCAATTATTTTCCTAGCCCTTTTTCTCTAGCCAGTAGTTTCCTTTTAAATGAGGCTGAAGGCAATGGTGGGTATCCAATTTGATTTAAATCAGTTAGTTTTCTGCACTGATACTGATTCATTTGTATGTCTAAACAAAACTTTGTAACTGTATTTTCTCTGTTCTGGAAAGTTGTCAAAAATGATTCAACAGCTTTTTGCTTTTACCCTCTTTTCCAGGACTACCCCTCTCTTCACCTCAACCTACTCCCTTCTCCTCATCCCCTATCTTCACCTCCCATTTCCCAGGAAGTCCTGGGAGTACAGCCAACCCCTGACCGATGAGTGAAAGGTGGACATCTCTTAACCTTGAGCCTGTCTCTCCTAGCCAGTATCGCAGAGGCCATAATTGTACCTTATCTGCCTCAGCGGCCATGTTTTAGGGAAATGAGGATAAGGAGAAGCAGGCTGCAGGCACACCTAGAGAAACATCCATCAGACAAGCAAGGGATCCCACAACCTCCAATGTGGTGACAGCCCCAGCTAGTCCTGATCCCAGATTCACAGGAACTTCCACAAAGCCCCAACCCTTGTCACTCCGGGCAGAGGCACAGATTTGTGAGTTATTAGTACCTCTCATCTAGGGTGGAGAGGACTGGGCTGGGACCAGAATCTAGGGAGTTGTGCTGGGCCATGGGACCAAATTTCTTGGTCTCCTTAGAGTTGCCCAAACCCTTTGTCAGTAGCAGCCTTTGTCCCAATGACTGCTCCCCTAGATTGCACTGCTCTCAGTCAGATTGCTCAATGTCCAATCTCATCCAGAGTGTCCTGACCAGGCTCATCCTTGCTGCCCTAGGACTCTTGCTGTCCAAGGAAAGACTACTAGAATAGTCATAGAGTAGTCAAGGGACTCCCTGACTGAATGGAAAGGAAGATCGTGCATGTGGGGATAGGGGTGGGAATGTCAAAAGGTGGTGTGGAAAGCAATGTAGTATTCAAGACCCTGAATAAATCATTCACTTAAACTTGGGCAGGGGAAGGGGGTCCAGCCCAAATTCACCTGCTCTTTTACCCACCTGTATTTCCATTCAAGCTTAAAAGTGCTTATTGGTCTCCACGGCTCCCATAAAACCTAGGGTCCTTTCTACCTGAAGCTACTACTAGCATATTTTCGTCAATCAAATTGCATCTGCTTCCCCTAGTTTTGCTGCTTATCTGCATATCAGTCTTTGAAGTTGAAGGGTCCTCTCAGGTCACAAACTGACCAAGTCTTCTTTCTCTTTTCACTAGATATTATATTGAATGCAAATAGTCTGAAGCCGTTGCCCTAAGTCCTATTAACAAGCTGGATCTCCAAAGGGTGGCTCCCATATCTCCCCTCAGAGTTCTAGGGATATCCTTGAGGGGTTTGGGGTTGTCTTTCTAATTGGATGGCAGAGGGAACCCTCACAGGTGTGCTTCCAATGGTTAGCGAGCCAGACTGAAGTAGCTTTTAGAAAGGAGACATTTAGTATGATAGTATAGTTGATACAAAACATCCTGTCCCCACCGTGTCATTTCTTCCTTCAAGCCCAAAAGTGCCTCAATAGTGCACCTGCTCAGGCATGAAGGGTCTCCCTTAAGGACAACTCTCACTCAAGTCCCCATCTCAAACTTTCTCCTTTCTAGGCTAACCACCCCTACTTTCTTCACATGACCCTCTAAGGTCATGGACTATTAGTGCTTGGCACTTTGGAGGTAATCCAAAAATCTAAATGACAGCCAATACTAGAGAGAACTCCCAGAGAACTGTCTTAAACAGGGGTATAGAAGAAGGTCTTCTAGGGCACCCCACCTGACTTATTAGTCTGGAGGTGTGGGGGGGGGGACAGCAAATACTTATGTTTTGTGTTCTGAGAGTCTAAGCCAGGGGATGAGGTTGATCAGATCAATGTGTGCCCCTCAATAAATTTGTGGAGCTCACAGAGCATAAATCTTGTTCTGAAGGGTAATTGGAATAGAATGGAAAATGCATTCATTAAGCACCTAATTTGTTCCAAATACTGTCACCAATGAGTTATTTGGACAATATAGATCTAATCTTTAGTAAGGAAAGGAAGTTGCTTGTTTAGCAGCCCTGGGAGCATATTTATTTTCTAGAGGGGTGTCTAAACTACCAGCAAGTACTATATATTCTTGGGGAGACTGTAGGACTTGGGAAAGAAAAAAATAATATTAATATATTTTGGCACGTTGTCTTTCCTCGTCAGATTATGAGCTCCAGTAAAGGGACGGCATCATTCTGCTCTAATTGTGTCAATTGTAGTGTGGCAAACACCTGAGGAAAATACTGAGATCTCAAAGAAGGGTGCATACCAGTTTGGTTATTAATAGGTTTTGTCGGGGTTATTTAGGTTAATGGGAGAGTTTACTCAAAAGAGGCCAGTTGCCCTAAGCAGCAGCAGGACAAAGTAACATGGTGGGTCCTGCACCAGCCC